TCCCCTTCCTCTTCGTCTGTGTATGGTATGGGCTGGCGCAGTCTTCCTGTGTGAAGCGCCAGGCCCCATTCACACCATGTAACGATGATGATGATGTATGTTCAGGGCTGCATTGCAACATTGATTGTTCGGATCACTGATATCTAAGTCTTCCGTTGTGCTATCTTATACTTTGTATTGAAAGGTCGGTTCTTGTTCTGGTCTGCACGTTACGGTATGCAACAACTGTGTGCACTTCGGGCATGGGAAAGGTCCAGGCCAACGCACTGCAGAAGTATAAATCAAGAGGCAGCGCCCAGCCATTCATTCATTCCTGCGTGAGCCATGCGGAAGCGCTGCCACAGCGACTTGTGCAAGGAGGTCTGCAGTGAGCCCGAAGACGAAGTGGGCAGAGAGACGAAGCTTAGCCATAGCGATAGGGTAGAGGCGGCCATAGCCGCCATAGCTGTAGTTGGTGTTCAGTGTGTGTGTGTGTGAGTATTCAGAGAGACGCATGTGGGATATCCAGGGTGATCCACTGTATGCGAACAGAGAGTTGTATGGGTGCTACTTCGCCATAGCCATTGGAAGTGAACTCGTATCGGGGTTGCCATATCTCTGAGTACTGAGTGGGCGCATGTCGCCAGTTTGCTGCGCTACTGTTTGCATGCATGTAAAGTGTGAATGAAAGCAAGTCTGATTGCAGTTGTGTCTTTTTGTGTGCTTTTGGTTGACTTGCGGGTGGAATGGAACCGAATTGTTGCTCCCCAGAATGGACAGGGAGCTAGGCCCATAACAAAGAACCTGAATTGAAAAGTAGAAAGGGAATAGGGGGCCAGGTCCAGCATCCCTCAGTGTACCCCTGGCATCGTTGAACTCCAGTTTTTATTTTTTTTGAAGTTGCAGATATGGGGACACTGGACCCGGTTTCCAGCACAAGCCAAACCTTGGTAATGGCCCCAGCACTATCCGGGTTGAGATGTTGAGGAATTCCCGACCTCATTGATTGTTCATGTAATAAAACTGCAGCTTCCTTCGAAAAAAGAAAAAAGAAAAAAAAAAGAAAGAAAGGGAATAGGGTGACTTGGCCAAGACAGAAGAGGGAAAAGACAACGAGCAAGGAATGAGCAGGATAAGGATGAGTTGAGGAAGGAAGAGGAGCAGCGAGGGAGAGGGGCCTAAAAGAAAGAAAAGACGGAAAAGATTGGTGGGAAAGATTGGTATGAGACACACGAAAGCAACGACTCAGCCAGAGCGCCGCCCACAGACTGTCTTCGCCTCAACCAAGGTAGAGAGACAAAAGGAGGTTCAAGCATAGTGTACTTGTTCGAATTTAGTAATAAAGATCGCGGTCTGGCTCTACGCTCCTATCGGACGTGCCGTAAATTTATTCTGAATGCGAACAAAAGGGCAAAGTGGAGTAAGCAGCATAGGAAACGGAGACATAGGGAAGTATACAACGGGAAAGACTCTTTTTAGAAAGGTTGAAAGAAGGGAGCGACAGTCATGAGCAAGCGTCAAAGGGAATAGAGTGTCGTAGCAGCAACGCCAAGAGTGAGCCGTAGAAATTGTGCGACTGTGTTATGAACCTGGTTACTTGTTGTCAGGTGACCAACACTCACTCACATAGACTTCCAGGCGCCACCTCTCCTAACAAAGATGATCTCTGGGGATGCAAGCTGCAGCTATGGCTGCAGCGCCGCTACCCTGCAGCCTTACTCACGAGGAGGGTTCAGCAGGGCACCAAGTTCTCCTGCTCCCAGCAGACTCCAGATAGCCCAGACCTCTGAACAGCCCCACGTGCTGTCAGAGAACAGCGAAGGTCCAAGCTATTGCCGACACTTCGAAGGTCCAGCTATGTCTGTCTCCTCCAACGCTGAAGCTGTACCACCACCAGTTCACGCGTTACACAGCCGCGATGTACACGGTACCAACTGCCAAAAGCCCTGAACAGACTTCTACAATCTATTAATAGAACTACCGTAGCCTAGACTCGACCTAAACCGGACTGACTGGACTGTCCCGTTCCGTTTCGCCCTCTCGGGCCTCTCCCTACCCGGCTATAGGCTATAGGACCAGTCTAACAGCTTAGGCCTCGCGGCCTGTCTGTCCTAGTGGTAGCCCGGGTCTCAGCTACAGTCTTCCCCCGAATACAACACACGGTCATTATAGCCGAATTTGGTCTATCTTGCAGTCTAAATTCAGCTATAATGACTGTACGTTGTATTCGGGGGAAGACTGTAGGGTGTCCATAGGAATTGGGGTTAGACCTGGATTTTTTTATTTTTTATTTTTTTTCCAGATTTACAGGTATGTCCCTCGCGAATTTACCCTACGGTCAGATATTTCGGTTAGCCCTCAGCCAAACAAAATTGCGAATCTAGCCTACCTATGTTACAGCCTCGAGTTGATGGGTCGCAGGCTGCAGAATCAGCAAGTCATTGCATACCTACCCTCCCCCAGAGCGAGGACCTCTGAGCTAGGCGTGCAGGCGTGCAGAGCGTCGAGGGTATTGTCCCTTCTTTGTTGCCTCATACTTGAGGACAGCGGACTTTGCTGTCTTGAGGAGTTCCTTGCATGTAAACCAGTGATCCTCTGTGTGGGGCTGGTACAGGAACTTCACAAGATACTGCATGTTTGGGCTTGTGCCTATCTCATCCTCAATCGATTCCACTTCATACCTCTTGTCATGGATCGGTGGACCGCATTGAGGGGGTCTGTCCGGAAATGCATCAGCCGAGGTAAAAGGCAACAGCTTGGATGCATGGAAGACCGGATAGGTTTATAGATGAAGAGGGACGCCAACAGTGTATGACGGTCCGAAAGGATCAGCCCCTGCCATGCACCCATGTATCGCGGCAACAGCTTAGGCGAAATGTCCTCCTCACGTGATAGCTCAGAACTGAGCACCCAAACCCAGTCACTTGTGCGAATAGTAGAAGGATGGCGGTGCCGGTTAGCCTGCTGAATCACAACCTTTTGGACTTTGAGCAGGTTGGCATGGGCTCGCTCTATATCCACACGATAACGCCTGGTGAACTCTGCGGTTCCGGGTGTCAGTGTAGGGGTAGCCTTGTCGATGATGTGATCGAGAGGCTGCTAAGGTTCATGGCCCCAGTGTAGCTTGTAGGGTATGAAACCAGTAGAGGAGTGGACAAACGTATTATACTCTAGTTGTGCACGACTCAATTGCAGATCCCAATCCTGTTGATCTGGTTTGATCACAGGACGCAGCAGCTGAAACAGAATCTGGTTCATCACTTCAGCCTGTCCATTGGCTTCAAGATGACGACCAGGTGTAATATCCAAGCGTGAATGAAGGTAGTCCGTACAGTAGGACTGCCATTCATGGCAGCAAAACCGAGGATCTCGATCACTGACAATGGAGGTGGGTGGTCCATGGTGTGTAACCCACCTGTCAGCAAATGCCGCCTGAACGGCAGGGACTCTGGCTCTGGTAAAGAGATGAATTATGAATACTTAGAAAACCTGTCCACACAAACCATGACCTGGTGCATGCCACCAGGAGTGTTCCTGCCCAAATCAGTAAAGTCAATAGACACTAATTGTGCAGGTGCCTTAGGGATGGGAAGTGGTTTGAGTAACCCAAGAGGAGGTCTGCGTACGACCTTGTTCCTTTGGCACAACTCATAGGTTTCAACATAGTGCAGCAGGTCACTCCTCATCTCTTTCCAGACGAGCCTCTGCGACAGCGCCGCATACGATTTGAGGGCTCCAAAATGACCACGAGCATCATAACACTCTGACATAATGAGTGTTCTCAACTTGCGATCTTGAGGAATGCACAAACATTCCTCACCTCTGCTGCAAGTGTACAGCAGACCTGAAACGAGAGTGTAACCTGGTTCAGAGGCAGGATCGGCCTACAGGTTCCTCACAATAGGCCCAAAAATCGCGTCCTGGGGCAGCGGCTGGGCAATGGTCTGACGAGTCTTTTTCCCAAAAGAAAGAGTAAAAGAGATCAGGAAGAGAGCGTCAGACTTACAAGAAAGGGCATCTGCCACTCGATTGTAGAAGCCCTTCTTGTGCTCCAATTCAAAGTCTAACAAGTCAATGAACTGAGTGTAGCGGGCAAGCTTGTCATTCAACTCTCCCGAGGACTTCATCCACTGAAGGGTGGAGTGATCTGAAAAGATCTGGAAGTGTCTGCCCAGGAGAAAGTATTTCCAATGCTTGAGTGATGACACAAGGGCATAAAGCTCTTTCTCAAAGGTGGAATCCTGCAGCTTCTTGGCTTTGATGTTCTTGTTCATGTACTCGACAGGCTGCAGACGATTCCCACTATCCTGCTGAAGTACCGCCCCTACACCATATTGACAAGCATCAGTGGCTAGCACAAAAGGCGAAGTAGGGTCAGGTAATTGCAATACAGGCGCACGAATCAAGGCCTCATTGAGACGTGTGAAGGCCTCCATACAGTCTGATGTCCAAAGAAAGGGAGTGTCTTTCTTTGTGAGGTCAGTCAGGGGTGTTGCAATAGATGAGTTCTTAATAAACTTCCTACAGTAAGATGCAAGACCCAGGAAAGACCGAACATCACAGACTATTAAAAAGGCTTCGACCTGTCCTGAACAGCAGCAACTTTCGTTGCTTCAGGAGCCAACCCCTCTCCAGAAATGACATGTTCCAAATAGACAATAGAGTTCACTCCAAAGGAGGACTTCTCTCTGTTGATCTTATACAGGTTGTCATGTAAGGTCTGGAGGACAAGAGCCAGATGTTGTGCATGCTCTTGGACAGTATGACTGAATCTCAGGATGTCATCCAGATAGACAACTACAAACTTGTCCAGGTAAGGCCTGAGGATGCGGTGCATCTCTCTTTGGAAAGTGTCAGGGGCATTGCAAAGACCGAATGGCATAACCAGATATTCGTATGTACCATATATGGTTTTGAAGGTTATCTTGTGGACATCACCTTCAGCCATCTCAATTTGGTGGTAACCAGATTTCAAATCGATCTTGCTAAAAATAGTGCAGCCTTGCACCATGTCCAACAGATCATCGATCCGAGGAAGAGACTTTGTATTTTTCCTCGTGATCTTGTTGAGTCCCCTGTAGTCCACACACATTCTGGACTCACCATTTCCCTTTGGAACAAACAGAACTGGTGCCCCAAATTCAGATGTGTTGGGACGTATCAACAGGAATTGGGTTTTTTCTACACTACTCACCTACTTGTTGCTGCCTGACTGGAGAAAGAAGTTGGTTAGTACAAGCAGGCAAGCGCTCAGTCTCTGCAGACCACTTGAGGGTCAAGGGTCAGTTCAGATCAAACTCAGCAAAATCAATTTCACGATTTTCCATTCAAGCCCTGAGACATCAATTGAGTTCAATTACTTCAAATCCTGCATTAATAGCTTCCAGGATGCAGTCTTTGACTGATTAGTAGTAGATAGTAATTAGACAGAGTGACAATGAGTGACTGGCAGGTATCTACAGATAACCAAGATGTAACGATTGACTGGGTGTTCTATTTTTAGACTTACTCTACTGACTCTATCACTGGATGACCCTGTAAGCCATACTCAGGGTATGGCGAAGTACAAATTTTACTGTAACTGACTCAAAACATCAAATCTGACAGTACGATTTCAGACACAGACTAAACATTGAACTGCGATTTACCAGGGACTGACAAAACTGAATTATGACGGACAGAACCAAAGTTATGACACACCCTAGCCTGGCCAAGCTTCAGCTATGGGAGCGCAAAATTCAAATTTCCATTATTACTGGCAGTATGACCCTGAACAATCCAATTCACAGTACAATATAAATTGCTACTCTGTAAAGCAGTCACATATGAAAATTGAGTTAGAGATAGGGTCAAACAGGGTTAGTAGGAGTCAAAGAAGTCAGGTAGGAGAAATTGGCTATGGCTGTCTCACAGTCAGAATTTCGATTTCCAACTGTCTACAGACTAACAGGCCAAATTTCGCTAATCTAAAAATAGCCCTAGAATCGCCACACATAGTAGAGGAAGGAACACACTTACTTTAGGGACTTCACTGAAGGGGAAGGATGAAACGCTTGCTATGGCTGTCTCTTGAGACCCACTCGCCAGTTTGTTCTTCTGCCTATTCCTAGTGTTCTCACGTACAAAATTCTTTGAAACTTGGTGATCCTGTAGATCTCGCAGTAGCGCTTCACCCCCAACTAACAAATTCAGTGAATTTGGACTCCCAAATGCCAATAACTAAGAAACTCAATGCAGCGCTGCTCCAACCTGCACTGCGCTGCTTGGGAATTGGGGATCCTGAGCCAATCCCAAAATCACAACCCTCTGAAGGTCACCTCCTTGCAAATCGTTAGTTCCAGACGAATCGCCAGGCTATAAATAGCCTCCTCAAGCCTCCCAGGCCTCTCAATATCAATTGCCGCTCACTTCTGTGCAACCTTGAGCAGAAGTGAATCACCCTCTGTCCAATACTTCTCGCCACACACTTGCCACCACCACCCTCATTGTCGTCAACACAGAAGATGACAAATCGCCATGAAGTTCAACTTCAGTGTCTCGCCAGATGATGGCAGTTGCTTAAACTCATCAGTGCTCCAGTGATTGAATCCAATCGCCCCGATACCAACTGTTATGATCCTCGTTGCATGTTGTCAGCAATGTCAGGTGACCAACACTCACTCACATAGACTTCCAGGTATGCCCATACATACACAGAAGGAAGGGGAGAGGATGGGAGTATCACACCGCACAGGGGGAGAGAAACACGGCGGAAGACTTAACCATGCGATATGACAGAGTACACTGAAAGTGCAATTCGCTCCACATAATCCTCACAACCAGTCACAAAAGGAAAGCGGAGTAGATCACATCCAGGAAACAATGAAGCAAAGATAGCTCACACACAGTATCACCACTGTTTATTAAACTCAGAGTCTCGTATTGCTAGAATAACCTCAGAACCATGGTGCACTGCTAAAAAATGAGCAGCGCTTCTTCCCCAACCCTGAGTAACCGCTATCACTACCCCTGAGTCCCTGAAACATCCACTGCCACCCAAATACTGCCTCCAGAGGGAAGCACCACCCTGAAACAGGCCCCTGAGGCCAAGCATCTCTCAGAGGATGACCAGCACCACAGTCTCTGATGATGACGAAGTGTCAAAAGGCCTTTCTGATGAAGATCTTCAGCAGCGCCACCTCTCCTAACAAAGATGATCTCTGGGGATACAAGCTGCATTTATGGCTGCAGCGCCGCTACCCTGCAGCCCTACTCATGAGGAGGGTTCGGCAGGGCACCAACTTCTCCTGCTCCCAGCAGACTTCAGATAGCCCAGACCTCTGAACAGCCCCACGTGCTGTCATAGAACAACGAAGGTCCCAGCTATGGCTGACACTTCGAAAGTCCGGCTATGTCTGTCTCCTCCAACGCTGAAGTTGTACCACCACCAGTTCACTCTCTACGCAGCCACGATGTACACGGTACCAACTGCCAAAAGCCCTGAACAGACTTCTACAATCTATTAGTAGAACTACTATAGCCTAGACTCGACCTAGACCGGACTGACTGGACTGACTGGTACCGTTTCCGTTTCGGCCTCTCGGGCCTCTCCCTACCCGGCTATAGGCTGTAGGACCAGTCTAACAGCTTAGGCCTCGTGGCCTGTCTGTCCTAGTGGTAGCCCGGGTCTGCTATTCGCAGCTAGGGTGTCCGTAGGAATTTGGGTTACTACGGGCCTGGATTGTTTTTATTGATTTTTTCCAGATTTACAGATATGTCCCTCACGAATTTACCCTACGGTCAGATGTTTCGGTTAGCCCTCAGCCAAATAAAATTACGAATCTAGCCTACCTATGTTACAGCCTCGAGTGGAGGGGTCACAGGCTGCAGAATCAGCAAGTCATTGCAACTGTCCCCACAGCCCCAGTAACGACCGTGAATGCACATTCCCCCCAAGCCCACAAAACTCCCACCCAACCGCGAACCTATCACACTTCACTGCCGACAACCTCCCCGCCCGCGTCCAAATTCCCACCCCGCAACACTCCATTAGCATGCCTCCTTCCGCACCGCTCCTCAACCCCAACCGACAAGAAACTCTACTCACCTCAACACCCCCTAACGTCATCAACATCAACACCCCTCTCCCAACGAGCCTAACCCCTCACAACGTCCAGGTCAACCTACACTTCAGTCAGGCAACCCACCCACACCTCTCCTTTCCTCTCCCCCAGCCACCCACCTTCCAACACGACACCAGGCACTACCCCAAAACCCAGTAGACAGTCATGCACAATTTAAACAGAAAGAAATCCTAAAGCAAAAGATACAGAAGTAAGAAGGGATTAACGAAGGAACACTTTTTCCGTATGCTCAAATAAAATTGTGTCCTACACACCCAACTCAACCATTGTCGATCGATTACCTACAGGCTAGAAAGAAGACACTAGAGCAATATTCTTATTATTATTTCAACATTAAATTCGGATCATCATTATTTATTCTTATTAATTATTCTTACTATTAGTCTCTTACTTACCCTTCCGGGGAACAGGTGGGAACTCCTTTTGCACACCTGGAGAAAATATTCCAAGAGAACAAACTCGGCCCAAGAAGGAAGGATGAAGTCCTTAGACAACCCAATTTTGGCAACCCCTGGATCAAGGATGACAAAGGTGAAAGCCTCGCCCTTTCCAAAACAGACGTCAAATGGGGACGCTGACTCGAAAAAGGAATATGGCAAATCCAACACATGTGGAAGGATTCAACAAACAATTGGAAGGAGGAAAAGGTCCTGAGAGCTACCCTAAAAGGAAACCACAGCCTACACGGCAACCTGGCAAACATAATCGAAAGCATCCCAATAGAATGGCGATGCCTACTAAAATCAGAGCAAAAATGGATTTCAGGAGACGGGGCAGGTCAAAAGAACCAAACCAATACAACAGAAATCCTAAGAGTATTAAGCAGCGAACTACACACAACAAATGGATTACATGCAGCATATTCCCCTTAGAAGACCCAGGCAGCCCCGTGAATTTCCTTAACGAGGAAAGCAGAGCAGAGGAAGATAAACAATTTAAGAAGAATAAGAGTAATAGAAAGTGTCTGAAATGGAGTATATAGGCCGGATTCCAACATTCGCCACCTCGAAATTGACCCTACTGAATGGTCGTGGGCCACTCCTGGCACCACCCCAACAACAATAAAGAGGCACAAAATAACAGACTAGACCTGTAAACTAGGTAGGATGCAAGCTTTTCTCCACGCCCATCACGACATCAGCGATAGTACGAAAAAGATGGCAAAAGGAAGAAACCACCCTTGCCAACGCATCTTTCGAAACCCGCCTAGAATTCAATCTTTTGCGCTAGACCAGTTAAACTGGCCAGCCTACTCTGGCTCATAACTATAGAGCAGTCCCCGTCAACCACTGGCTGGCGCGAAGGCGAAAGAAGGAAGACAGATCAGAACAGGAGTCATGGTGCAAAGTTTGCAACTCCCATGCCACAGAGACTCTCGACCACTGTTTCCTAGAATGCGAGAAGACCCAAGCCCTATGGAAGGCCCCCCGCTGGTGGCTCACCGAAGTCGCCAACCGCCAACTCAGCGGCCAGCCCTCGCACTCCTTCCTTGAGTGGGCCATGCTGATCACAGCCACCTTCCGCCCACAAAAGACCATTGATGATTACATCGACCGACTTTGCCGCCTTCGCCAAAATGGCCCCACCGACCGCTACGTACTCCAGCATATTCCCGTCCACCTGATCGTCGACGACACTTTCATCTCCCGCCTCAAGCGGGTCTCCAACCACGAAATCACCGCCGTCCTCGTCCATGAGCCCACCACAACGTTATCCAATCTTCTCTCCCACATTCTCCAAATCGACAGTCTCCTTTCAACTCACAAGGCCGCCATCCCCTCTGTCCCTTCCCGAACACACTTCCACAGCATTACTTCTGACTACACCCTCACCACCCCATGATGTTTGATGAGTTCTCCACGCCTGACTCCGACACCAAGTCACCAGTTAGCAGTAGCTGCTGCAGATCCCAGGGTTCGATCCCTAGACCCCAACCTTACCTGTGTACAGTACCTGTGTCGGCCCGTAGAATTGA